TAATCTCTATTGGAGGACAATTCTCATTCACAATGTATTTGATTTCTATAATTTTATCCGATGTATCAATCGATAATTGTTCTGCAATTGTAGAACTGAGAATTCCGTAGCTTGCATTATCATCTACCACAATGGCATCAACTTCAAAATCTCTAAATCTGCCATAGTTATCCCAATTACCATTCGATTTCAGCATTATTGGGATTTTTGACATGATTTCGTGTAGTTGATAGGAAAAAAGACGAAGAACAGATATAGTTTCGACAATTTGAGTACTGATATCGACGAAGAGCAATTTTGTATTCTACAATTTGTATTGAGCTTCAGTAGCTTGCGTTTTTTGAGAATTGTAGTTGAGTGAGAGAAGAGAGATCTCTTTCTGTTGAGGAAGGAGAGAATTACGCAACTGGTGCCTTCATCAGATCTGGTGCCTTCATCAGGAAGAGAGATCTCCTTCAGTTTCAAAATTCGAATAAAATCGTTGACAGAATCACATCAGATCTGGTGCCTTCATTTTAGGGCTTTTTTAATGGCAAAATCTACCTATTTTTGGATTGGTATATAATTTGTAGTAAAAGTGTGGACTACACGGGTAAATAACAAATTATGAGCATTTTTGGTAATAATATTTGATATATGGTATAGATACGTAAAAATCCATTTTTTTAACAATATGGGTATTTAGAAATCTTATGGTCCATGGCTAAAGTTTTAAATTCGATTTGTACAAATAACAGTGAGCTCACAAAGCTTTATAAATCAGTATCATAGAACAAAACTAATATTAAGATGCTTACCAGCGAAGATCTATAACTCAGTCTAAATGAGATAAAGTGTAATAACCCATAATTTTAACCAAGGACAAATTGGTCATTTAGCCAAAAAAAAAAAGGAAAGAGGCCAAAGCCCATCAGATGTGTGGCGTGGGTTTAATAAGGGTTTGTAGAAAGACCTTTTGTCCAACAAATATAGTACAACTTGGAAAATTGGGGAAATATCTACAACTCTAATCCATAAGCAAGTGAGAACGAGAAATTTAACAGCAACGTGGAGTCAAAAACCCAAACTGCTGCTGGGACACGATGCTTGAAGAAGAGCAAGACCCATCAGTTCTTTTTCTTGAGTAAAAGTACTATGTTTAGCATCAAAGAATTTCAACAAGAAACTACAAGAGCTAGGAACGTAAGTCTTCTGGAAGAATTTTGGTTTCATATTGTTAACTCTTCTATTGTAATACTAGAATTGAGTTTGGTATTTAACTATGGTGGGTAACAGTAACATGGATTTTCATGGTGAAATATACTAGTTCTTGAATAACCATGAACCTGGAATTTAAAAAAAAGAAAAGGAAAAGCTATTAAGAGTTAGTTTTGATAGCATTATAGATAGTCTAACAGATGATATTTTGAGTAACACTGAGACATGGGTAATCGGAATTGTGACTCGCTATCACTTAAACTTACTGAATTTTGCGATTAGCAGACGGTAACATGAACTTATATTAATTTATAGATTTCTCATGAATTGAGCATTTGGATCGATAAAAAGTCGTACAAATTGCTTGAGGTGTTTGGTATTGCGACACGAGTACGGTGAGTAGTAATTTTACCGCAATTTGTGTTTTCATAACTCGCATGATTTACACATAATTTTGATATGAATATGTTACCGATTATTTTAAGTTGCATGTGGGACAAGTCTTTACGCGATATGATACCGAAATAGTTGTTTGAGATAATCACCGTTGTTTTAAATATTCTTGTTGTCACTGGATATGTTTTACCGTTACTTGAATTTACTGTTACCGAAAAAAAATTACATGATTTTATAAGAACCGAAATGCCTTATGTTGTTTTAAAATATTTTCCTATGAGTATATACGGATATAGAGACAAGTATAAATGGGAGTACACTTTGAAGGATCCCGTAGTTAATGGCGGGTTCGTTAGACCTGGCATCTTGTATTTACAGATTACCGATTACAGTTATAGCCTCGCTAGTGGGAAGGTAGAACTAGCATACAGTTACAGTTTTTCCCTCGAGTAGGGACATACAGTTATATTTGACTCCTTTTACGAAGGGGTCCACACAGAGATATAGATTACATGATCCTTTCTTGGAAACCTCCCAAACATAAGGCTTGATATGACAGTGTTTATAGAGTTTATTACTGAATTATTGATTTGTTCCTGCTCACATGAAAACAGACAAGATTGATTATTGTTACCGAATCTGAAAAAGGGCATTTATTTCATGATATTTTCCGATACTATACAAGCATGTTTTTGACTTGTCCTCATTAAAAACCGGTTGTGGTTAAGTGTTATTACTCACTGAACTAGCAACTCACTCCCCGCTATTCTTTTTTTTACAGAGACAATAGTTGACGCGAGTAAGGATTTCACTAATTAGAGTATACGAGTTAATAGTTCCTGGTGAGCCCCGCACTTGTTCGCTTTCGCGAAGAGTTTATTTATTTGTTATCGTTTTTTCTTTTGAACTCTTAGAGTCGCTCCATAGTCATTTTTATTAGTCTTATGGGATATTCATTCGATATATTGGGTTAGTTATTAGTATTGCATTGTTTTAGATTGAGTTTAGTATTATTATGTTGATAACATTTGTAATCTCTTTTTGGATAGTTGATTAAGATTATGACTCATTTAGGTGAATGTTGGTTAGTTGTTATTTGTTTATGAGACAGGAAATTTTTTTTGGATAGTCCTAAAACAGGGAAAATTCTATCCGATTTTCTGTAAAATACCGATGAGACTTACTTGGGGGCACTTGCTCCTAAGCGCCGGTCATAATTCTAAATTGGGTCATGACAAAGTTGGTATCAGAGCGTAGGTTATTCTTGTGATTAATGGAGCGCACGTCGGTAGTAGAATCTCAATTATGGTTATGTAACCGGCCATTCCCATAATCGTGATTCTGCGAGGGCGTGATAGGATGTGTCTGGTCTTTCTTTCTTGTTCCTCCGTACGTGTGTGACGATTATGGTTAACTGAATATATCACCTTTTATTTTGTTCCTGTTTTGCTAGGTCCAATCACCCAATAATAGAACTTGGCTAGAGGTTCAAAGATACAAGTGTTGTCACTAGGCACCCAACTGTCTCCTAGAAAAGGAAAGCAACCGTAGTAGAAATGCGAATAAAAGGTGTTGTTGTACCACAATGAGGAACTTTCATATCGCTATGATGTGTAATAAAGTCAATTCCTTAAGTTACCACTAGTCCACCACTATAACAATAGGAAAGTGTTTTCACAAAGGTATTTACTTTGATGAAAAAGGAAATTGAGATCTTGATGGATATAATGAATAGATAAGAGAAGAATGGGAAAGAAAAACAGGGATTTAAAGGCTTAAGGCACCTAAACTAACTAAGATTATTGAAAAGAGAGAACTATTCTTAATATAATTCCGAAAGTTGAAACTATCAAATTTACCATTTCTAATCGTTCGAAGAATCCTCAGATGTCATAATGGAAAACTTAAAGCATTATGGACTCTAGGATGTAGCCAGAGGTGGGCGGTGCTAACAACTTATAGACTGAAGAACATGGTCAATTTATGGTATGTTATGTATTTTAGTTACATCCTGGGAACGAGTTTACTAATATATGGTCAATTTATGGTATGTTATGTATTTTAGGAGCACACAACTAACCTGGGAACGAGTTTACTAATATATTTATGAATCACCTTCTTTTGAAAGTCGATAGCGTGAATCTACTAGGTAAGAAATTAGTTCAGGCAACAGATGTACTGATAGATGGCATTAGACTTTCTCAGCTAGCTTAGATACACATCATCTCAAGTTTAGAGGCTTGTCTAAGAGTTGCTTAGTCTTGTAAACAAGATCCTTCTAGAAAAACTAAAAACATGACGTGATATGCAAGTTTTAAAGGCAAAGCACAAGACTGGGAAATTCCTTCGATGAGCATTTTAATACGGGTCGAACAATTGAAAACAAGGATAATGAAATGCTGAATAAATTGTTTAGATTGTTGCTCATGTTTTAGGATTCGAGGTAACCAAACATGTTTAACAAGATTGTCAAATTTAAGTTGAGCATAAATTTATCCTAGGTGGCTCGATATTACTTTATATGATCTACTTTGAAATGCCAATAGATATGGATTAATTAGCTTCTTATTATGACACCCTTGAATGCCATACAAATGTAGTTGAGTTTCAATCATCAAAATTAATCTATTTTTTTCGTACAAGTTGCAAAGATAGATAAGATTAGATTATATATAAAAGCTCAATATTACTAAAGAATAATTGTTAGGGTTCTCTAGCTATGATAAAAGAGATAACGGATAAGACTCCTAGCGGGGAAAAGGTACCAATATCAATAGAATTCTTTGATGTATTTTTGAAGATTTAATAGGACTACTTCTAGTGTGAAATACAAAGTTTATTTGACACATGACATTATATAAAAAGAAAAAAAACCCGTACTTTATGACACGAACGGAGTTGGAAAGGGCTAAAGGAAGAAAAGAAAAATTGCAAGACTACTAGATAAGAGTTTATTTGATCGATTATATTTTCTTGGGGTGCACCGGAGATATTTGTGAAAAAGAAACATGGGTCTTTAAGGATGTGCATCAGCTAAAAGCAGTTTAAATAAGGTAATATTGTACCACATGTATACATTGCTAGAATCGCAGGTCTTTAGGATGTGCATCGACTAAAAGCAGTTTGAATAAGGTAATACTGCACAATATGTATACGTTACCTCCTATAACTGACTTGCTTAATCAATTGCTTAGAATCCAAAAAGAAGATATTCCTTAAACAATAGTCCGAACTCGGCACGGTATCATGAGTTCCTTGCGATTCCCTTCGGACTTACCAACGCTCCAGCTGCATTCTTGGGCTTAATGAATAGGTTGTTCATGTTATTTAAGACAGATTTATCATAACTTTTATTAATGATATTCTGCTATAATCTTGTAGCCAAGAAGAATATGAAGATTATTTGAGAATTGCATTGTAAATGTTACAAGAATATCGGTTCTATTCTAAGTTCTCCAAGTGCGAATTTTGGCTAGACTCAGTAGCTTTTCTTTGGCATGTTGTATCCGAAGATGGAATTATGGTGGTCAAAATGACATACACAGTTCAAAAATAGTCAAGACCTACTACTCCTACAAAGATTCACAACTTATTGAACTTGGCAGGCTATTGCAGGCACTTCGTGCATGATTTTCTTTTTCTAGAATAGCAGTGCCACTAATCAAGTTAACGCATCAAAATGAAAAATTCTAGCGAATAGAGGAATGTGAGAGGGCTTTTATAAGCTTAAAAAAATCATGTTTGACAACAACTCCAGAATTAGCCTTACCATCAAGTTCTAAAGGACTCACGATATTCGGTAATACTTTGAGCGTGAGATTAGGATGTGTTTTTATGTAAGAAATGGTCACATTATAGCTTATGCTCCAAGACTATAAAAATCACGAGAAAAAAATATCCTACTCATGATTTGGAGTTAGCCGCAATGGTTATTGATCTGAAGGTTGGATGCTTTACTTATACGGCGAAACTTATGAGATTCATAATGACGACAAGAACTTAGAGTATATTTTCCAGCAGAGAAACTTGAACCTTCGGTAGTGTTGGTGGATGAAAATTCTTCAAGACCATGATTGTTCCTTTGGGTATCATTATGGAAAGACTGATATTGTGGCTGATATATTGAACGAAAAAGTTTATGGGCAGCTTAGCACATATAGTTATACCAAAAGGACCTTTGGCTAAAAATAGGTAGAGACTAAAGGGTACATATCAAATTTAGTGTGGAGAATGTAGAGATATTATTGGCTTGTGTTAAAGCCAAATCTTCACTAGCAGAGCACATAAAGTCCACTAAATATAAAGATGAGCGATTAAGTAAATATCGAGATGAGGTCCTAGCTAGTACAAAAAAAAAAAAAACAAGAAGGATATGACTATTGATAGTCATGGTATTCTTTGGCTAGGTAATCACTTATGTGTATAAAATATAGACGGATTAATAGAGTTATTATTGAGGAGCTCACAACTCTATATACTCCGTATATTCGGGGTCCAATAAGATGTACCATGACTAGAAGAAAATGATATTTGTGAGAAAAGAAAGACAAAAAAAAATAAAAATCCTTAACTTGTTTCTGACTATTTGACTTATTAGCATGTCAAGGCAAGCATTTGCGACTCGCAGGCCATTACAACAACTCGAGATTCCAAAGTAAAAATTGAACAGAATTATAATGAATTTTATGATAGAACTACCTCAAATATTTAGAGGTTATGATTATGTTTGAAAAAATGTAAATTGGTTGCATGGTGGGCACATTTCTTGCTAGTCAAAACTTCAAGAAATGAGGTAAAATATGCACATATATGCATGAATGGAAAAGAAAAAAAAATCCGACTCCTTGGGATTTTATTGTCCCACATTTCTGATAGAGATTCACAATTTACCGTATACCTTTGATATATCTTTCCAACAAGTGTTGAGTATACGAGTAGATCTTTGTAATGCCTCTCATTCTCTGTCAGATGGGTAACCAAAACGTAATGCACAAACCTTGGAGAATAAAATAGTTGAGATGCTTATTGACCTTTTTACTTGAGTTTGTTTATAACAATAGCTTGTAGTTAAGCATCCAGATGGATCCATATAAAGCCTTGTCGGATTGTTTTAAGTCGGTGATACTAAAGTCTTAAGACTATACTTACAGGAAAACAAAATAGGACTAGAGTTGTTATAAGAAGCTACTGATAAGTTCATTTGACTTAAATATGATTGCTCACATCACAAAGCAGACAAAAGTTTGGTGCAGATAACAGAAAAATAGACGTAGAATTTATAGCAAGAGACCAAGTGATCCTACGAGTCTCCCCTATGAAAAATGTGATGCAATTTGAAAAAACAAAAAGAGGGAAGATGAATCCAAGGTTTATAAGATTATAAGAGTTACTTCAAGGGATAGGAATCGTGCTTCTCGTTTGACACTTCTTCCTAAGTTATTTTTTTCATCTAGTGTTCGGTGTTCCCATTCTAAGAAAATGTATATTGGACTTCTGTTATGTACTTGAAGTACCGATTATCCAACTTTGATGAGAAATTAACTTGTAGAAGCGTCAATCGCTAGTGTTGACAGACAAATAAGTTACGATCAATAGAATTTATGTTCGTGAAGGTCTTATGGAACCTATTTCATTGAAAAAGCTACTCAAGAAGTGGAAAATACTATGTGAGTCAGATATTCTGGTATATTTTAATCTACATGAATGCAATTAATTTGAAATTCGGGGACTGAATTTCATAAGAGGGGAAGAATGTAATAACCCATAATTTTAACCAAGGACAAATTGGTCATTTAGCAACAAAAAAAAGGAAAGAGGCCAAAGCCCATCAGATGTGTGGCGTGGATTTAATAAGGGTTTGTAGAAAGACTTTTTGTCCAACAAATATAGTACAACTTGGAAAATTGGGGAAATATCTACAACTCTAATCCATAAGCAAGTGAGAACGAGAAATTTAACAGCAACGTGGAGTCAAAAGCCCAAACTGCTGCTGGGACATGATGCTTGAAGAAGAGCAAGACGCATCAGTTCTTTTTCTTGAGTAAAAGTACTATGTTTAGCATCAAAGAATTTCAACAAGAAACTACAAGAACTAGGAACGTAAGTCTTCTAGAAGAATTTTGGTTTCATATTGTTAACTCTTCTATTGCAATACTAGAATTGAGTTTGGTATTTAACTATGGTGGGTAACAGTAACATGGATTTTCATGGTGAAATATACTAGTTCTTGAATAACCATGAACCTGGAATTTAAAAAAAAAGAAAAGGAAAAGCTATTAAGAGTTAGTTTTGATAGCATTATAGGTAGTCTAACAGATGATATTTTGAGTAACACTGAGACATGGGTAATCGGAATTGTGACTCGCTATCACTTAAACTTACTGAATTTTGCGATTAGCAGACGGTAACATGAACTTATATTAATTTATAGATTTCTCACGAATTGAGCATTTGGATCGATAAGAAGTCGTACAAATTGCTTGAGGTGTTTGGTATTGTGACACGAGTACGGTGAGTAGTAATTTTACCGCAATTTGTGTTTTCATAACTCGCATGATTTACACATGATTTTGATATGAATATGTTACCAATTATTTTAAGTTGAGTGGGACAAGTCTTTTACTCGATATGATACCGAAATAGTTGTTTGAGATGATCACCGTTGTTTTAAATATTCTTGTTGTCACTAGATATGGTTTATCGTTACTTGAATTTACTGTTATCGAAAAGAAATTACATGATTTTATAAGAACCGAAATGCCCTATGTTGTTTTAAAATATTTTCCTATGAGTATATACGGATACAGAGACAAATATAAATGGGAGTAAACTTTGAAGGATCCTGTAGCTAACGGCGGGTTCGTTAGACTTGGTGCACCTTGTATTTACAGATTACCGATTACAGTTATAGCCTCGCTAGTGGGAAGGTAGAACTAGCATACAGTTACAGTTTTTCCCTCAAGTAGGGACCTACAATTATATTTGACTCCTTTTTACGAAGGGGTTCACACAGAGATACAGATTACATGATCCTTTCTTGGAAATCTCCCAAACATAAGGTTTGATATGACAGTGTTTATAGAGTTTATTACTGAATTATTAATTTGTTCTTGCTCACATGAAAACCGACAAGATTGATTGTTGTTACCGAATCTGAAAAAGGGCATTTATTTCATGATATTTTCTGATAATATGCAAGCATGTTTTCTGACTTGTCCCCATTAAAAACGGTTGTGGTTAAGTGTTATTACTCACTGAGCTAGCGACTCACTCCCCGCTATTCTTTTTTTACAGAGACAACAGTTGACGCGAGTAAGGATTTCACTAATTAGAGTATACGAGTTAATAGTTCCTGGTGAGCCCCGCACTTGTTCGCATGGGCGAAGAGTTTATTTATTTGTTATCGTCTTTTCTTTTGAACTCTTAAAGTCGCTCCATAGTCATTTTTATTAGTCTTATGGGATATTCATTCGATATATTGGGTTAGTTATTAGTATTGCATTGTTTTAGCTTGAGTTTAGTATTATTATGTTGATAAGGTTTGTAATGTTGGTGAAAACTCTTTTTGGCTAGTTGATTAAGATTATGACTGATTTAGGTGAATGTTGGTTAATTGTTATTTGTTTATGAGACAGGAAATTTTTTTTGGATAGTCCTAAAACAGGAAAAATTCTGTCCGATTTTCTGTAAAATACCGATGAGGCTTATTTGGGGGCACTTGCTCCTAAGCGCCGGTCATGATTCTAAATTGGGTCGTGACATAAAGAATAATAAAGCATCCACATAATTCTCAGAACGATAAAAACAAATCTACGTCAGAACCAAATAAGGCAAAATCATAAAAGTCTGCTAGCATAACGTAAACTGTCATAATTAGAATGATCGTTGGACAAAGAAACTAAATTCAAATTATCATCAATTGATGAATTCCTATTTAGATGTATTCAATACAAAATATTCATAAATATTATACTCTGCAAAATTTTCAAAATAATGATAGAAATATAAATTAGAGTCCAATAAAGCTAAATCTTAACATGTAACGACCTGACCATCATTTTTGCTTTCTAGAACCCTGTTCCCCTAAATAAAACTTCATGTACGTGCTTTTACTTTTTTATGACTTGTGAAAATAGTTAGTTCGGGATTTGGAAGGGTTTAGGTTGAAATCGGAACACTTGGTTCCTTAAGTTGGCTTAAAAGGCTAAGTTTGACTACGGTCAATATTTTGAGTAAACAATATTGGAATTGGGATTTGACGGTTCCAATAGATTTGTATAATTATTTTGGACTTGGGCATATGTTCGGATCAGGTTTTGGATGACCTAGAAGCATTTCGGCGCCTAATAGTGAAAGTTGGCATTTTGAGCAAATTCCACAAGTTTGGGTTGAAATGGATTTTTACATTCAAGACATTCGTTTGGGATTCCGAGCCCGGGAATAGCTCCGTGTGGAGATTTTGGACTTGGGAGTGCGTCCGAAAGTGGATTCGGAGGTCCATAGATTATTTCGGAGTAATTTGGCGAAAGTTAGAAATTTGAAGTTTTGGAGAGTTACCCCATATGTGAACTTAAATTAATATGTGTTGTTATTTGCGGGGGCTACGTACACAAGAAGTGATGAGAGTCCGTACGTAGCTACTATTCATGTTTATGTCCAGGTAGTTTTAGGTTTACACCATGCTTTATGGACACCGTTATCTGATTATATTTGTTAATAGTATTGAATGGAACTAAGTTGAGGATTTTAAGTTTTCAAAAGTTACAAGTTGAAATTCTTATTTTGAAAAGAATTGAGAAAGGTTATGTTTCATTTATATTTAACTACGTCGCAAGTATATTCCGCGAGCGGGGTGACTCTTTCCACTACTCTCATGAGAGCGGGTCATTCGCCTCGGCAGGTTAATAGATGCATCTATGGTTCGTGTCGTTTGACCCTCGGTAGTGCACAGTTATATTTATGTTGGATCGGACCGTACGTCCTCGGCAAATTCGTGCGTAATAATAGAACTAGAAGTCCATTTCATAGTCGGTATTAATTCACTTGTTTCGGAGATTATTGTTGTCACACCTCCTTTTTCCGCCCCCGCGAGCGTACAAGGAGTTTTTTCCAATTAAAGGACAATCGAAACGGGATTTATTTATTTATTTCAGAGTCGTCACTTGGGAGATTTAGGGTGTCTCAAGTCACCAATTTAATCCCGAATCGAGGAAAAGAATGACTCCATATTACAGTCTGCGTACCAGAAATCCGGATAAGGAATTCTGTTAACCCGGGAGAAGGTGTTAGGCATTCCCGAGTTCCGTGGTTCTAGCACGGTCGCTCAACTGTTATATTCAGCTTGATTATCTGATTTTATACAAATATGAACTTATGTGCAAATTTTAACTTTTTACCACTTTTATAATTATTATTTTTTTTACAAGGAATTGCAACGTTGTGAAAATGTACCTCGAACCGCGTTACAATCAATGTACCCGTGGTCGTCGACACAATTTGACTCCATTGAGATTTGGATTTGGGTCACATCGATGTGCACCCGAGTTTAAGAAAATTAAATTATTAAAGGCGCGCCTAAAGCGACTAACGTATCATCTACTTTGGGTAGGGCCGTGGAATTTTGCTAAACGGTCCATCCCGAAGTCTAAGCAACTTTAAAGCAAATATTTACTGAGGGCCCCGCAATTTTGCATTTTTATTTGGCGAGGCTCATCTCATTCTTATTTTTTAAAGGAATTTGCAACGTCGTGGACATGCATCTCGGACTACGTCACAATCAATGTACCCGTGATTAGAGCCACATTTCGATTCCATTGAGATTTGGATTTGGGTCACATAAATCACCCGAGTTTAAGAATGTAAGATTTATTAAGGCGCGTCCTAAAGAGACTAACGTATTGTTATTGTTATTTTAGGAAGAGGCCGTAAAGGTTCATTAAACGGCCAAATCCAAAGTCTAGTCAATGGTTATGTATTTATTGAGGGCCCCAGCGATGTGTGATTTATTTGGCGAGGCTCGTCTCATTTTTGTTTTTAAGGACAAACTTACCGTAACTATATTTTCTATTAAGTTCGTCTCTAAAATAAATGAAGAAAGAGGTCCTACATTATTTATATACTTATGAGGTATTATAGTTAAATTTCGAACATGATTCGTTAAATCTAAAATGTCCGTAGCAAGAGTAGTCTGTTAGACATTTATAGGCCCAGGTCCAACGTATAAGGGGTAAGACCGGACCTGGGCCATCCTACTTCAAATTGGGCCTATTTAATAGTTTCTACACATATTCATGAGCTTGCAAAGCTGAAGGATAAACTGATACTATTTCATTTAACAGTTTGTAGTAAATTTTAAAGCAAGCGATCTGTTGGCATGAGAGAACTTAAAGATCTAGTTTTAATCCTAATTCAAACCATTTGCGCACTGAAATTGGGCTGTCATGGCAATTAGAAGTATATTGGCCTAATCCTAGTTTGACATGCATCTTTACAAACAAACTGAAATAAGCAGGGTGCTCCTTTAGCTTCCTATCTTTCTTTTAACTAAGGGCCTACATAGGGAGCTCATAACCTAAATGACTGCGTATGTGAAAACTGTCCAGTTATACAGCTCCTTGGCAGGAGTCTACATATTAGTGATACATAAAATGGCTTTAGTACAATCAGTAAAGAAAACTAAATTCAGTTTATAACTTCA